AACATTCATTTGACTGTCCATTTGACCATCCAAATATATTTGGAAAGCGGTTTAAAGGCTTGGCTGAGCTCCGTTGGACTTTGAATTAGATCAAATTTAATAACATGGACAGTTTGAATATAAATTTACTGAAATTGAAGCTTCGAACGGCTCTTAATTGAAATTCTCACGGTTTCTGATAGCTCTTATGGTTAGTTGCTATTGCTATAGACTTGCTAGAGTGGCGTAATATATTTATACATTGATGGAACTTGTGGCTAGCAGCTATTGCTGTGGACTTTCTAGCGCGGCGTAATATATTTATATGTCTGGTTGCTCTTGTGGCTGGCAGCGATTGTTGTGGATTTCCTCGCGTGGCAAAGAACCAGATGACTTTTGTTTAGGTAAGATCGTATATTTATTTTTTGATGACTCGTTTTTTTTATGTTAAATTACGAGCCCAACTAATTTTGTTCCTATCTATTCATTCTTGATTTCTGATTAGTCTGCGTGAGATTAAAATGTGATTTCAGTGGTACAATTTTAATTGATAATTTTCTATTTTAGATATTAGGGTTTTGGGCTAGGTCTATTAAAAAATAAATTTATGATAACAATATTTAGCTCGTTAAATAGCTCGTATTTAATTTATTCGTTCAGCGAACTAGTCGAATAAGAACAATTTTTTTAACTTGAATGAATAAGACAAATATGAATAAAGTTTTATTTAAATGTGTTTGGCTCGAATTAATTAAATAATAAATAAGTAATTTGAAAAAGATAAAATAGTGATATATTTGATATGATATCAAAAATTTGGTTTGTAAAAATGTAAAAAAAATAAAAATAAAAAAAAAGAAATTGAAGTGTTAGATATTTAAATATGTAAGTATTCGGTGGTATGTTTGTAAATGCCTTTAGGTGTTAAATATGTAAATACATAAGAACTGAGTGACATTTAGTTGGCTCAAGTTCGGCTCGTTTGCACCCCTACTTAGGGGGTAAAGTATACGTCTTCATAAAAAAATAAAGGAATTTTTCTCTAAAGTAATAAATTCTGGTCTATAAACTTATATATCTCAACCTCAATTTATATTTTTAAATCTTTAGCATATTATACGTCGTGATAGCGAAACATGCAATATTGCATGCATTGTGAGAAACTTACCACGAGGTTAAATTTGGCCACCATTAATGCTACCTAAAGGTAGGAGATGAATGTGGAAGAAACATTGCGCCTATTGCTTAATTTAAATTTAATTCGATAATGTTGATATGTTATCAATAAATTTTTATTATAAGACACAATCATACATTTTTGAGTTAGAAATATTTCAAATTCAAGATTATCTGAACTTTAATTTCATCAATTTTAAAGTCAGGTTGAGCATGTCAACAAGACAAACTTAATAATTTTTAATATAACTCAATTCAAACTCATATAACCCCAGCTCTAATAGTTTTAAGTGTGGTAAGAAACTTGGTGCATTGATTAAAATAATAAATGACTTATAATAAAATTGAGTAGCTCGGCAAGAGGAATTCAACAAGTCCAAAATCATCTGAATTTAAGATTGTTAAGAGTCAAGACACTTGAATGTATGAAAATTTAACCAATGATCAAGGAAATAATTGTGGTTCATCATATAGTGTTTTGATATCCTAACAACATTTACCAAAATCTTCTGCGTCGTAGCCAAAATTTCCTTGGCTGGAGAAAGGAAATCTTGGCTACGGCGCAGAAGAATATAAAATTTTGCGGATTGTTCGCAAGGCAGACGGGCTCGCGGGAACGAACAGTTGCGAAGCAGTTTGGGTAAAGTGTTGCGGCAGTTCAGCGAGTTATGCTTCAGAGAGTTCTCGGTAGAGGCGGCGTCGCGACTTCGAGACACAACAGTTCATGAATATTTGCGGCATTAGGTGAGGTAGAGTTAGCGAACAGGAGTTCGTGTGCAGTTACGTCGAACATGAGCGTTTGCGAACAAAAGAGTTTGGTGGTGTTCGACCAGCGGAGTTTGCAAGTTCGTCGCAGGAGGAGTTGCGACGGGTGGAGTTTGGTAGGGTGCTGGCGAGCGAGCAGGAGCGATTATTCGCGAACAGTGATTTCGCGGATGTATTTCGCGAAGGGTTTCGCTCACGGAACAACAGTTTTGCCGAGGTGCTGGCACGAACAGGAAAAGTGTTTCAACCCACATTTGTGCATAAGAAACTCCATGATATTTTTCTCCTAATATTTTTCTCCTAAGGTTCCTAAGGTGCTGGATATTCGCAAGGTAGAGATTTTCTCCTAAGGGGCAGAATGTTCGCAAGGTGGAGATATTTCTCCTAAGGGATTGGATATTCGCAAGGTGAAGATTTTCTCATAAAGGGTTGGATATTAGCCAAGGTGAAGAATTGTTAGGTATGACTCATAATACTAGAATTTGGAGCCTCTTGAAATGAATAGATGTCTCTTGGAATTAAAGAGATGTCTCTTAGAATTTAGTGGGTTGAGATCAGCGTGGGTGTAGCAGAAGCATGGTGGCCTAACCCACATTGGTGCAGGTGTAACTCTCAGGTATCTTTTCTCCTAAAGGGTTGGATATTCGCCATGGTGGAGATTTGTTATGATATGACTCATATACCATATAGGGAGAGACGCTAGAACGAAGCGGAAGATCTGTCCAAATCGGGAAATTACGTTATGTGAGTTGGGGGTGCTGGGTCAATACCCCGCCAAAACAGTACAGGTGTAATTTGGTAATTATATATTGTACTGTAGGGTTTACTCTAGGATTATAAATAGATCTGTTTGTAATGCTAGGTTGTTGAGAGAACTGAATCTTGTATTATGTATTCTTTTCTGAATATTAAAAAAGAAGTCGTCGCTCTGCTCCCGAGGATGTATGCATCTTTGTCGAACCTCGTTAAATCTTTGTGTGTTCTTCTGGATTTGTGTCGATTCTTATTTTTCTTCGCCCTAATTTCTCAGCAGATATCCTAACAGCATTTACCAAAATCTCCTTCTATAAAATTATAAATAGACTCTCATCTTTCACTTGAACGATGAGGAGGAGATAAAAAGAGAGTAAGCTAACTTATAAAGTTTAACTCTTGAACAGGGGGTCAAACAAGTCGAGTCGAACTCTAGACATGTCACGCTTGAGCTTAGCTTGTTTGATAAATTGTAAGCTCAAATTTGTCTGGTAGTGGTCGGCATGGGGGGCGGTTTACGAACTCAAACTAAAAAATCAATTTTCACAGGAACTGATTGAAGAAGGTATTGGTGGCCGGAGGAGGAGAATGAGACAACAGGAGCTCACTAGAAAATGTATTGAAATGACTAGTAGTAGGTTAATCATGTTGGCTTACGAGCCAACGAGAAGAGCCAGGATGAGCTCGAGCTTGAGCTCCTTTAATGAATGAGTTCCAATTTGAGCTCAAACTTGAGTTTGTGGTATGATAAGCTCAGCTCATGAGCTCATTAACAAACCGAGCTCGAGCCGGTTCAGCTCATTTGCACCCATATTCTTGAAGTACCAGTGGTTGTCGGCAGTCACTAGAGTTCGTCGCTGGCCACCAAATATCATCACTGATCACCATCAGTAATTGTTACAGTCGATTATAGATTTTGTAGCCAACAGTGACATTTATAGCCACTAACTACGATTTTTGTAGTTAACTATTACTATAAAAGCAACCAATCATAGCTCTTATAACCTAAATATGATTGTTGTAGTCAAGCAAATATTGTAAAGTTTTGATGATCAGTTATTGCAATCTCATCTTCCCTAATACATAAGAAGAATTGACCTTTAAACTTGTAATGTCCAACTAGATTACTTTATTTTGGTGAGACCCAATGGTTTTTTCTTTTCCTAGGGTTTTTCAAGTGAAAAATCTAATTTTCTTTGGGTTCGATTTGACGCTATTAGAGTCGGGTCATTTCGGGTTGAATATGAACCCGAATTGACACCCTCAATAGAAATTTACAAAGAGCAACTTCAAGAACTTTTCAAAACAACAATATTTTTTTAATGAAAGTCATGAAGAAAGAATGTCACTTGATGGAGAATTAATGGTCCACAATGTTGATCAATAAAAGCCAAAAAGGAAGCTACTTCTATAAAATTACTTTATAAAAATTCTTCTCATATTATTAAGATCTTTCTTATTAGATTATTTCTTGAACTGGTAGAAATATATTTAGTGAATTTGGATTCTATTAATGTATGTGGTCTAAGTCCTCCATATGAAAGACTCACTTGAATCTCTTGGAAAGTTCAGCAATAATCTATTTGCTTATATTTACCCGAGTTATTTCGTATGAGAGCCATGTCAGGCTGAAGCCCTGAGAGATATCTAATGAATAAATGTTTATATTAATATTCTGCGCATATTCTAAATTAATAATGTTATGACAATTAGGGGTGTAAACGAGAACGAGCTCAGACTTAGCTCATGTTCGGCTCGTTTATATTTCGAGCTCAAAAAGTGTGTTTGTGTTCGGCTCATTTGCTTAACGAGCCGAACACGAGCCATTCACGAACAAAGAAACGTTTTGACAACCCTAATCACCTAGCCATATCATTTGAATTTAGTTTAATAATTTTTATTCTATTTTCTTAATTAATGCTTTTAATTGATTATAAATCTTTGTAGCCTTGTAGTCAATAATTTTTTTTTTTTAAATACTACTCATCAAAGATATATATATATATATA